CTTATTTATGACAAGATAGAGATGACAGCAGTTTACCTGAAATGGTCTTGCCATGTTTAATATAGACCTCTAGATGCACCAGTGTATAGGTGTGATACTATAAAGATTAAAGGTGATAAAAAGAATGTGGTAGACCTAAAATCACATGGAGGGAACTCGGCAAAGACCTCCATTATCTTGGGATCTTTACTGTTTAGCAAATAACAGAACACGAAAATACAAAGCATTCATATTATTTAACTGTTGGGGATCAAGGCTCTTGTCGTTGTAACACCTCGATTAGATCCGGTGCCGGTATTTGTTAAGAGACTTATATGCCCCTGTAAAGATAAATGTGTGATTTAGGAAAACTCTAATTTCAAAAGAATCCTTAATTTGCCTTAAAAGATGCATTATTTAATATTGGAATGAAACAAACCTGAGTAGAGCATAATTTACTCACTAGCATTATGTAGTCCACCCAAACTAATTTGGGAACGAGACATTGTTGATTAATTGATTTACTAATAAATTAGAGCCGAACTTCACGGTGGAACAGGCTTCAATTTTCTACTTCAACCCACTATGAGAACAAGAAATGCAGCAGGTACAGGTAGGGAGTCGGGAGTCCAAATACCAGGTTTCTAGCAGAAAGCAGGTAATCCCGCTAACGGGCGTGGCCAAGGAAATGAATGGTGGTTATCCAAATTTTCATCTAAATATGGAGTTAAAGCAAAGAAGTACACCTCATCATCTGCATTACCAATGATAGCTGGCCCCCATGAACCGACATAATCAATGTACTCATTACCATCTATATCCCACATATGAGAACCCTTCACAGAGTCGATCACAACAGGTTGTCCGCCAACTGACTTGAAAGCACGTACAGGAGAATTTACACCACCTGGCATCAACTCCTACCAACAATCATACAGGAGATGAAATCAATGAACTTGAAGGGAGTCCGAAATGAAGCAAAAACAGAAGGGGAGTCTTTCATGCTCTGTCATTAGATGCCATTAGAGAAAACGTAAAGAAACTAATGAACATCATCTTAGAAACTGAACAACATGAAGCGTAAACTAATGGAAGTCAGGGCCATATACTTCATTGTCAAAAGTTTTAAGTAGTATTCCTCCATTCGGTAAGCAAGCACAAGATTGGTGGATTAAGAAAGAACAAACTAAAGAAACAAAGGAGGGCAGTGTTTTCTTTAATAGATTAGTATAAAATATTAAAGTGACTTTAAACTTATTCGTCCAACAGTATTTAAAGTAATTTTCAAAAAAAGGAATAAATGCAAGAAAAGTTAGAAGTAAAGCGCAAGCTTCTTGAGGTGAAGTGTACAATTTACGGAAAATTATGAAATACCAAACTTATATGAATTTTTCGTACAATAATAATAATCAAATTGCAATTAGAATAACTAAATTATAGGATAATTAATTTCAGCATACAGTATACAATGACGCTAGCATTAGTCCAACTCCTCAACGTTGAGATTCAAAGAATCCACTTCTCTTTTCGATTATTGTATACGTCATTGTTTGAAGCGCATATTTCTCTGAAGCGCATGGTGAAGTGATGGCTTTTCATAATACTGATTTAAGGTTCATAAATACGAAATATAAATCAGATCGGAACACATTGTTTCACTAGTCTATTCTACACCCTTCTTTCATGCATAAGCTTCTTTATGTTATAATTCCCTTTTTCAACCTAAAGACTAAAACTATTATTAAATTTCATTTCTTTCTAAGTTCACGATGCTTCTAAATTTCCCGTAAAAAAAATGGAAAGCTTTTGCAGTTTCTCCTTACATGTACCAACCATTGTAACTAGATTTCGAGTGATATGGTCACCAAAAGTAAAAAGTGATCCAAAAACCAGAAAACATGCTTTCTTTTTTAATGAAGTAAAAACCAGAAGACATGCTTTAGCACATACATTTTACTACTTGATCACATTCATCAAGTGTAAGGCCCCTAAAAATTATCTATAAGTCTGAGGCCTTAAAGCATGCTCATGAGTTACTTAATTTCCTTTTTGCCTTCCATAAGAGATTATGGACTAGAACCAACTTAGATAATCATGATAGTAAATGTAGGAGGTGTATTAGATGTGGTTTAGGGTCTAAGGAGAGCCCTAGAACTAAGCCAAGTTGGGAACTACACAATGAGCTAAAGTTTCAAATGAGTTTGCACAAGACCCTACTTCATATGAGTACCACTCACAACGTATAATGATTTATGTGGTGAACTACCTATCAAATAAAAGCTCTTTGAGTCTAGCTTCCAACGCATCAAACCATTTGTCATTTGGATATTTTACAGAACATTATGGCCATTTTACTAGACACTGTCCCATATAGGCACTCAGTTGTGTGCTGGGGTTGGCAGGTGCGCGGCAGCACAAAAGAAAGATTTATGCACGCCCGCTGCGCTTTGACTTGCCCAGGTGCACGACATCACACGGGAACCCTTTAAATACCCCAAGGTCGGGGAGAGAGAGTGGCTACCTCATTTCTTTGATCTAGGGCTTGTTCTAATAAAAGAAATCTGTCACATATATCCCTCCCGTGAACTAAGGTAATGTTTTTGGAGTATTTTGAGTTTATTACTACTCCCAAAACACTTATATTAACAAGGATTAATCTTGGAAGTCCATAGATTTCCATTCAAATTCTCATATTGGTCAAGAACACCACAAGTTTGGATTTTCAAGAGTTTGACTACAAGAGGTATGTCTACCATCTCTAACTACTTTATGGTGATTATTTATGTAAGAAATATGTGTTAGGACTTATAAGATGGTGATCGGAATCCATACGTAACCTAGGTTGTGTTAAAGATTGTAAAATGGTTTAACTTATGAGACTGATGGGTTGGGAGTGAATTGTTGGGCATGCATGTTGTAATGGAGGTTATGGGTTGCCTAAGGATGAGTGTAAGGTGATTTATTGGTATAAAAGGTGGCTGTTAGATGAAGAAATTCCATTGAAGGAGGAGGTGTTTGATAAAAAGCCTAAATGACCTAAAGTATGGAAATTCTTACTAATATTGGTCTAATTGAATTGTGTTGACGTAGATTAAAGTTGTAAGAGTAGGGGAGGTTGTAGGATCACTAATAAGCTTAATTGAGGTATGTTTAGCTACAGCAGTTCATAGAATAGGATTTCATGAACTCCTTATCAACTCCAAGTATGGTTTGTTCAAGTTCATATTCCTTTTGTTTTGAATTGCCTCAAATGTTTGAACTACCAAAAGCGTACGAACTCGATTTATGTTACACTTGCCATCGTTATGCTCTCCTCTTTGAAATTTATTTCAAGTGTTTAAGCTTTTATGTACTCATGCGTTTGTACTTATGGCTTTACAATGTTTTAAATACATTATTATGACCTTCGAAAAATTCATGGCATGTGAATAAAATGAAAGGATGAAGATGATATGTGGCTATTTTTGCCAAAAGTGGGAATGATGATATATGTCCAAAAGTGACAATGAAAAGAAAGGTTTTATGAGATGTTTTAAAGAAATATTTTTGGGAGGATTATCATGTAACCGAGAAGGTATATATTGCAAAAACATATACCTGAAACTATACGTGTCGGCGTAGGAAGACGATTGGGAATGAGTCCCTTCGCACTGTGATGAGATTATGCCCCTTAATTGGGATAAATGTATTGCTAGCAAAGACACATCGATCCACACGGCATTGTGGTGAGATGGCTTAGTCGATCGAACCGAGATCAGACGCCATGTCGCGCACATGGTGATTATATGTTCCTTTCGGTAACTAAATGATGTCCCAACTAAAAATGTCAATGTTTATTTTAAGGTTTTACTCATGTTACACTTTTTCCTTATGTTTTGACATGTCATATTAATTTCTTTCGATTTTTCTCCCTATTTCCATGTGTTCTCTTCTTATGTTGAGTTCTTGACATTCCATTTCATGTGAGGGTACTTAGCTTTATATACTAGTACTATTCCATATGTAATAACATCCCTTTTGCGGGGGCAGTGCATCTTTAATGGATGTAGGTAGTACCTCAACCGACAGCACATATTCACGTAGAAGTGTACCCTCTCTTCAGCCGACTGTGGTGAGCCGTACTCTACACCGGGGCCCTCGTGTTGCATCTTGATCTTTTGTATATTATTTTTGGGTATAGCCGGGGTCTTGTCCCCGTCATTTCTTTACCTTACTCATGACAATTTAGAGACTTCGTAAACAAATTGTGGGTCATGTATGTATGTATGAGGGAATTTAAATGTTGTTTTGTCATTTTGTTTCCACTTAAAACTATTAACTTGTATCATTTTTGTCAACAATCAATGGGACTCTTTAAGTTATGGAAATTAGCATTGTTTCTATGTTGTTGGTGGTCTACTACGTATTATTTTTAGGCACTATGTAGGCTTGCTTGACTGTGTTTCCTCGGTTGAGCGTCGGTCCCGCTCCCAAAGGTTGGGGGCAAGCTAACGGAATTAATCATCAACAACTATCACGAAACATAACAAATGTACCACCAATATCCCTATTTTAGACACGAAAAGATACTCATAATGTCTCAACCAAAAACCAAGTCAATTACTAGGGGACTATCACACCATCACTTCAGCAGATTGATGCCATTCGTGACAGAAGATTTTTCTACACAATCCCCACCTCAAAAAAAAAAAACAGAAAATTTATCATTTTTATCAAAATTATTAGCAAGGAAAAGCCAATTCTTGAAGGCAACTAAGTTCTAATCTTATAATTTCAAAAGCACAATAAAGAGCAAAGAAGCCGTACACATAAAATCTAGTCATACCTTAGCTTTATTAAAAGCTTCTTCAGACTTTTGAAGAGTAAAGGTTTTCTGTTTTTCACCAACTGAAACAGTCATCCTGATGGTAGTTGCAGTAGAAGAATAACATGGAATGCATCGGCGGGGTGATGTAGAGAAAACCAATGTGGGTCTTTGACACTGAGTAAAATTCGACTGCCATAAAATCCCTACGCCACTTGAAGCGGCCATTTGTCTACTGACTCTTCCTTTGGTTAGCTGCTGCAATGACTTTGTCTTCTCAAACCTCTATCTATTTTGAAAGTGGAATTTTCTTGGCTTGGGAATGAAGATAAGAAATGAATATAAAGGAAATCTAAAAGAAAATAGAAAGTGACAAAAGGAAGTAAAAAGTGTTGGTAAATTGCTGCTGATGCTATATTGCGGATTTTTAATACCTTTTATACGGTTATAATATGTATTTTATGTATTTAAGCTATTGTATTCGTGAATACAGTAGCAAAAATAGGCGCGAATCAGGGAAGTCCAGCTAATCAGTTGTTGTATTCGAGTGCATTCGACTGTATTCATGGAGTGAAACATGGGATTACAGCTGGACAGATTATTGTATTTGACTATATTCACGGCGTAAAATAGGAGATTACACTGTTTTTAAAACGGAAAGTGAATCAATTAATATAATAGACTCCTAATATAACTCAACAAACTCAATTATAACACACAAAATTTGTATTTTCAGTTATAAAAAAGATTCTCAACCAAAAAATACCCCAAAAATATAGCAATCTTCAGAGAATACATCTGAATACATAAATTATATTAATTAAAAAAAAAACTTATGAATACATTCATGGCATATAGCGAGACAGTGAATACGATGAAATACATAGAATACAATGGGATACATTGAAATACAATGAAAAAAAAGACATAGAATACAATAAAATACATGGAATACAGTGAGATACATTGAATTACAATTTAAAAAAAAAGACCGCGGAAGGATCATTAAGGAGCTTAAGGACTGCTTGTGAGAAGGCGAAGAGGACTCTGTCATCGACTGCACAGACCACAATTGAGATTGATTCTTTGTATGAAGGTATTGATTTTTACTCGACTATTACTAGAGCGAGATTTGAGGAGCTGAACATGGATTTGTTCAGGAAGTGTATGGAGCCAGTGGAGAAGTGTTTGAGGGTATGTCAAGATGGATAAGAGCAGTGTTCATGATGTGGTTCTCGTCGGTGAATCAACTAGGATTCCCAAAGTTCAGCAATTACTTCAAGATTTCTTCAATGGGAAGGAGCTTTGTAAAGGCATCAACCCGGACGAAGCAGTATCCTTTAAAAAGGGTCTTAAAGAGGTTTTTCGGCGATCGGAAAACCAACCAAAAACGGTGGCGGAAGGATCATCACGCTGGTGTAAAGGAAGGAAAAAGTAGGAAGGGATACAAAGAAAATTGGTGGAAGGAGGAGGAGATCGGAAATTTTAATGGGATGGGGGAGAGAATTGGATGTATCAAAGTAGTGAGAGAAAGAAAATAGTGTAACTAATTAGCGTATTTAGTGGCTTAGAGCTAGCAGGTAACCAAAATTAAATATTTTGCTATAAACCTTAAAAGTTATCTATAGAATATTATTTTTTTAAATGGTATTTATTTAAAATAAATAAGGTGTTAACCTTTGCTATGAGAGTTAAAAATTCCTTTTCTGTTTCAGGCACATAAAGCCCAAATTGTTGCTGGCTCATTTTTGGGAGAAATTCAAAAATAGCCAGATTAGTGGTCATTCAAAAATAGCCAGAATTTCAAAAATAATCAAAATTTAGCCACTTTTCATGTAAATATAAATCTGAACGAAAAAACTGTTCAAAATCCGAAAAAAGACTCCAGCATAATATACTGAAGTTCCAGTATAATATAACGGTCCAGCATAATATATTGGAGTTTGGAGCACCGGTNCACAAGATAGAGATTCGCACACAATTATAGATTCCGAGCTGTAAAATTTATGTTTAATTGGTAAAGTTTGAATAGTATGAGTTGATAAATAGGTACAATGGAAAAATAAGGTGCCAAATGAAATATTACGCGAAATTTAAAAATAGCCAAATTTACAAGTGGTCATTCAAAAATAGCCACAGTTTCAAAAGTAATCGAAATTTAGTCACTTTTTATGTAAAGATAAATGTGAACGAAAACACTGTTTAAAATCCGAAAAATAATAATATACAACTTTCGCGTGTTGGAGTTCCAGCATAATATGCTGGAAGTTCATACACAAGTGCACTGAACTTCAGTATATTATGCTGGACCGATCTCTGTTGCAGCAAAATAGTGGTTATTTTTCAATGACTTGGCAAACGCTGGCTATTTTTGAATGACCAGTCCGAAAAATGGTTAGACCGTGACGATCCCTCAAATTTGGGTAAAATAACATGGGCTAGCCAATTTTCGGACTGGTCGTTCAAAAATAGCCAGCGTTTGCCAAGTCATTGAAAAATAACCACTATTTTGTTGCAACAGAGATCGGTCCAGCATAATATACTGAAGTTCAGTGCACTTGTGTATGAACTTCCAGCATATTATGCTGGAACTCCAACACGCGAAAGTTGTATATTATTATTTTTCGGATTTTAAACAGTGTTTTCGTTCACATTTATCTTTACATAAAAAGTGACTAAATTTCGATTACTTTTGAAACTGTGGCTATTTTTGAATGACCACTTGTAAATTTGGCTATTTTTAAATTTCGCGTAATATTTCATTTGGCACCTTATTTTTCCATTGTACCTATTTATCAACTCATACTATTCAAACTTTACCAATTAAACATAAATTTTACAGCTCGGAATCTATAATTGTGTGCGAATCTCTATCTTGTGATTCTTTGACGTTACAAACCAAAACCAATAAGAAAACTACATGCTAGTAGAAAAAAGAAGTAAATATGAGCTTTTCCCTTGTTGCCATATGTGATCTATTTTCTCTTCACCTTCCGCTTACCTCCTCAACTTTCTTCCTCCCCTTTGTTTTCTTTTTTAAAATGTGAGCCAACTTTTGGAAATATATTTACAAAATCATTAATTCTTTACAAGAAAATTTGCATTTACACTCTGTTTGGATCATTGTATCCCATCGTTTTATAATGTATTATATTGTACTGTATCGTATTGTACCGTATCATTTTATGAATACAATGTTTGGATAGATTGTATTGTTTGTTATTATTAAATAATATTTTGTTATTTGGTTTGGTTGTATCGTATTGTATTGTAACTGATAAGTTTACTAAAATATCCTCAATTATTTAAATATTAAATTTATCAAAATTTATGTATAAAAATAATTTGAAAAAACAAAACAAAAGAAGGCAAAACACCTTAAGAAAGTAGAACAAAGGAGCTAGATAGAAGAAGGCAAAACAAAGGAGCACATCTAATTAGAATTGAGTTAAAGGCAAATTAGGAGAAAAAATAAAACAGAAGGCGGCAAACACCTTTAGCATTGGTCTGGAAAAAAAAACAAAGTAGGTTATAGGTTGGAGATTTGGAGTTAAAATAGAAAAAAGATAAAGGGTAAAATAGAATTGTGGAGTAATAAGTTAGGGCATAATTAGAAAGAAAAATATGAAACAATCTCACCACACCAAATCGGTTGTTTCAAAAAAGGGACTTTTCATTGTTCCGAAACAATAAATTTAACAATACAATATAACTAGTTTTAACGAAACAATCAAAATAAATATTATTTTGGGATAACAATACAATATGATACAATGAGGAACAACCATCTAAACAAGCTGTTAGTCATCCATGATCACAAAAAGTAAAGGAATGCAAATTTTAAAGTAGGTTACCTTCGGGTAACTTTGGTAGGATATCTATCCATAATCCGATTTAGACCCCATAGACACTGCTGAGATCTTGATTTTGCTTAGATGGCTGCTCAAGTTAGTACTAAAAGTGTGCAATTTAGGGTGAAATAAATAACAACTCCTAAACGCTAAAACACTCAAGCTCGACAACGAGGGATACAAATGTCGTGCTTCTAAGCGCTATAGAGAATAATATTCTATCTTAGAATAATAGAAGGTGATATATAGAGGGTCATTGGTGGCTTGATGTTAGTGATCATGTGAGAGATGAAGGTGAGAGGGGGTGGTGTGTAAAATCCGGAAAATTATCTCTAAGTATTATGTTCTCGCTCAAGCTCTAAGTTGGACACAAAGATATTCGAAAAATTACACAGGTGAATAAAATCTAAATCTTTTGTTCGGGAGGTTGAATGGATGTTTGGAAGAGATTAAAGTAGTTTGAAACAAGTTGGAATTGTTTAAGGAAGAAGATGATCATTGTCGCACATGCCCTAACTTAAGACGATCATATCTCCCAGTAGAAAATGTATTGAATTATGACCTATATATCAAATTAAAGATCTGCGAGTTCTATTTCAAACACTTCAAATTGTATTTGTCATTTGGACATTCCTGCGAGCAGCCATGACGACACATGGAAGGGGGGCAAGGCCACGCACACCTAAGCCAAAAACCGCACAAGTTGTGCATGGAAAAGCAATATAGAAGACGTGGCCTTTCCGGCAAGAAAGCCAAGGAAAAAGGGAAGGGATCTGACCATGCGTTTGCAGACTACACGTGGCCACCCATAAGGGAATGTGTGTGGCTACGTGTGGCCACGCATAGCTACGTGTGGCCACGCATAAACCCTGCTCCAAGTATAAAAAGGGACAGAGAAAAGAGAAAATAACTTCATTCTTCAAAGATTAGACCTTCTCTCTCAATCCCAAGTCATCCAAGAGTTCCTATACTACATAAGGTGAGTTTTTAATGCAATTAAAGTTAAATTACTACTTCCAAACATCGATTCTAACAAGATTACATCTTGGAATCACTAGATTTTCAACAAGGATTCGCGAACAAGGTTTTCCTCCAACTTAGGATTTCACGATTCAAGTTAAACTCCGCAATCTGCTTTCAACTATGATTATTAGGGAAGATTTTTGTTGATATCCATTCCTATAATATACTACAAAAATATAGATTAAGTACAAACTTTGGAAAATTGAGAAAGAAGCAAACCTAGGGCTTCCAAAGCTTGAAATTGAAACTTTTAGAATTCATTCTTGAATTACAAAATGTAGAGATTGGTTTGGTGAATTGAATCCCTTGAAATTGAGTGACTAAAGTATTCGAAAGGGAAAAATCAAGGTGAGTTGAGATAATACTTTTATTAAAGTTGTCTTCTCACAAATATCATACCACATATTATTATTAAATCATATAGAATGTCAAGGTGCATTTTTGATTAGAGAGAGTGGACTCAC